ATTGAATGAATGGACACTAAGTTTGTATGCATTCAAAAGCATTGACAATAAAAGTCACGCCGTTTTCAACAAATCTGTCTTTTGTTAGAAATACACTGTTTTGGGACTTAAAATCACTTGACATACAATTTGGTAGCAAATAATTGTGTGATTAATCAAAACCGGAATTCAATTAATTGTAAATCAATTAAATAATGACTAAAAAGAGTGAATTTAAACACAATTTGAAAATTACCTGAAAATGAGAGACACGTAAAGGAAGGCATCAAAAGTGGAAACACGTGACCCTCTCTTCCATTTCCCGTTCAGATATTACGTTACCATATATTCGCCGCTCACTTAGTTTAGCCCCTTTTCATCAGTTAATTGTACACTATTTGCAAACTAATGAATAATTTGGTAAATGAATTAATTAACTGTAAAATAATTTACGAAAATGTTAATGGTAACATCTTAAATGATACATTGATGTACAAACATGATTAATGATACAAAGATAGGGCATGGTAACATGGTGACTTGTTTATTCTGCTACAACCACTTTGCGTTTATGTTGATTTGATTTCTATAATTAATTAATTGTGTAAATAATTTATCAAAACTTCAAACTTGATTAGATTTAAACTATAAAACATAATAATAATGAATATAAAAATACAATACACGTGTTATGCATAGAAGTGTATGTGTAATAAAGTGTGCGATTCTGTGATGCGATTCTTACACAGAATTGGTGTGCGAGTGAAGTGAGAGTGCGGTCTATGTCTGGCGCTGTACTGACAAGTGGGACACTTAGTGTGCCATTCATTACATTCAATGATAGTCTTAAGAGCGTATAAACGAGATTTAATTATACAAATATCTTATATAATAATAATTAACGACTTGTGCCGCATATAATTGCAGTGCAATTATATCTAGATCTCTAAGTCGGGGGGCAATTATATCCGGATAGAGTTGCCCTCAGTTTTGCTATCATTTAGGCATTTATCAAAATTCACATATAGTTGCCCTCAAACTCACATAATATTTAACTGTAAAGTTTGACTAAAAGTTTGTT